CATTTATGTCTTTCACCCCTCAATTTCTTTTGTCTGACTAGATCCACCAGCTCTACCTACTGCCCCCTTCCAACTCTGATTCTGTCTTTCAAACTCACACAACTGTGTCATGCTTCCCAAACGAGGCTCATTTCTGAACCAAAGATTTGCAAGGTTCAATGTATGACCATTTTGAAAATCTCTACCTATCCGTTTCCTCCTTTATCTTCAATCTCAACATTTCTTTCATCTTCATCATTCATTCTGTTAAGTCCCCATTTCCCCCAAAAAATCTTTACAGCCGAAGTCCTAAAGGAACTCTGAGGACAATCACAGATGAATTACAGTAATGAATCAAGTTACAGGGGGATCCTGACTTCTCTTCCACTGACACAGGAACTCTTACTGTCACATTCACTCTACAGAAACACTAGGACAATGGGCAGCCTTCCCTACAAAGGCCACTAGATATACAAGGAACTGTACCATCAAAAGGGCTCCTAAATTTCCCTCCATTCCCAATCCTGCTTTCTGTGAACACAGAAAGTATCATGTATCTGTATTATTAATATGTACCAGGCTATGTGCATATCTATGGATTCAAATGTAACAAAAGATAAATACTTTCTCTTGTTGATCCACTAATATTACTATAAGGCTTAGTAGTAGTATTGTCACCAGCACCTCCTACGGTTTTCAAGACGTTGGGTGACAAATTCACAGAACATGGTTGCACGTCAGCTACCGCAAACCAGTGTCAAACCTAGCTCCATCCCAACTTCTGGGATTTCCTAACACTTTCAGGGGAAGGGTCAAAATGCCACTGCTTTCTAGCAGGAGTAGTCACAGCGGAAATGCGAAGTTATTGGTGATAGATGTTATAGGAGCAGGTTTTGAAGACAACTCTGTACATTTACATTTATTTCACCATTAGAAAACTTTCTTGAGGTTTTATTGCTTCTTTGCTTCTATGTTTTTATGTTAGCATGAAAACAAAATTAGATTCTTCCATTTCACTTCTCTCATTTTGGTTTGCATTATCTGTTGACAGCTTTGTGGGGGTTCTATAACTGTGTCTAACAGAAAATCTACTTGTAATGGGCATTCGAAATATTATATCTGACTGAATTACTGAGAAGGAAATTACCCCTTGCTTATTTTCTATGTGATAATTTCCTCATAACCAATCTTTTTTGGTTATATAGCTTTCAGGCTGAGTTATCAAGGATCATCTCTAGATAAATGATAAACACTGGTTTTAATTGCATCCAAAATATGCTGTTTATCTTGTCTCAAGACACTTTTTGGAGGTTGTAACAGCCTCAACTTTAGATTAAATGATGTTAACACTCAATTCCTAAATAGCTATTTCCCTTTTCTAAAATAAAAACTTAAGGCAGATGGATTAAAAACAGAATTTAACTTATATTCCATCACAGAGAAAAAAAACCCTCAGATTTTCCATTTCTTAAGGGTTTTCTCTCAATGTGGTAATTTACCATATAACAAAAGAAAAAAATGCATAAGCAAAATGTGGTAAGCTCACATTTTTTATAGATGATGCTAAAAATGTTTTTAAATGTATATTGTAGGACAATTATTATTTATAACTTGAAAAGATGAAATCACAATTTTATACTGCCTTCTAATCCATGAATATCTAACTTGTTGTACAGACTTCTCATTTTGGAAGTTGGGAAATACTTCTAATTGGACTGCAATTAAAAAACAACAACAAAAATAATTTTTTAAGACAGGAAAGTCCCCCTGTTTGATTATGTACCAGGTTATAGTACTTCAGTGATTTCTGGGGGCTTTGTTCAGATGAAAAAAAATGACAAACTGTTAGGTTTCCAGTTCTGGGGCTTTAAAATATCAATGCTTTTTTATCTTCTAGATTTCCTTCAAGCCTAGAAAGCACAGGGGGAACACACACACACACACACACACACACACACACAAAGGCTAAGAAGTCCTCTGTCAATATGCCTCCAAATTCTGAATTTGCTCCCTTCTGGTGAATACTTCTAATATCCTCAAAATGAAGTCACATATTCCTAAGCCCAACACCTCAGACCTCCTCAATCAGATTCTGAGGTTGAATCCTGGCATTTATATTAATTTAACAAGAATTTAACTTATCCTGAAATACCCCAACCCTACAAGCACATGAGGACAAATAAAGTCATCAAGTAATTACTTGCCCTATCACATTATGGTAAAACATAAACCACTACTTCCTAATTAGAGCAGGTAGTTTCAGCTCTACCTGCCTAACAGGACATAATAGTTACTGTTAAAACAATCTTGAGTATTGGTCTAGCTCTAGCACATCTCTCTCCCCACAAAAAAGAAAAAAAGAAAAAGTCACCAAAGATTCAAAGCCAGAATGGATAATCAGTCTTTGGCATAAGAGTCAGTAGTTCCTCCCAAGGGCAAGGCCAGAAATATCTCCTGAGCCAAACGGGAATTCCGGGCACTAAGATCCCTCTTTACAAGTCTTTTCTGGAGATGTGCATATTAAATGGGTTCCAGCAGTCTTACCTGGACAGGTTATCATAGGATGTTCATATGATCAGCAGCAGGCAGAGAGCAGGGGCCAAGAAAAATGAACTAGCAGCAAGTTTTAACAGAGAAAGGTCAGAAAGTCCTACTGGAATAGATGAGTACTAAAAGCCAGAATGACAAAACAGAAACTAACTTTGCCTCCTTTACAAATTTATAGGTCAGAGGGTGGTGAAACCATTGACAAGATTTTAACTGAAAGATATGTTGTCCTGAATTACTAAAACTGTCTTTGTTAAGCTCCCACAATTCTTTCCATACACTGGGATCTCTGAGAAAGTGTAAGTGGTGACATTTTACTAAAAGAGCATGAGTTTGTAACAAAAGTTAATACCAAGCTTAATAATTCCTGCAATCATAAATTCTATGGATAATAAAATACTCTGTATCAGAACGCCCAGATCAATGGGAGAATTAAATAAACATATGCTTTGTACTCAAAATGATTAAGTATAAAGATGTTCTGTTTGAAGACACTAATTCTACAGCTACCCTTCAAAAGTTCTGAAATAAAAAAAAAAGTCCACCTTAAACCTAAAAGGCTAATTTCATGTTGACTTTAGATACTGTAGTTTTTATTCTCCTTGTTAAAGAATGCTAGATAAGGCTCCAATGAGTGATTAAAACATTAACTAAAATGATGGGTTGCCAAACTATCTCCAACACAGACTTTGAAAATCTGAAGATAGAGAGGAAAGGATCAGAAATCTAATTTTTCACATGAAAGTTGAAGGGTTGCTTCTTTTTTGTTCTTCTAAGACTTTTTCACTTCCCAAATGCGGCAATTTGTAAATATTCATATGTAGGGGAGCCTGTTCTAAGAGGGGAGAAAAGGCACCCATTTTAAGACTTGAAAATGTGTTTTAGTTCTGTAGACACAGATTCACCCAATCAGCTAGCAATGATATTGACCAAATGATGATTCAGCCGTGTGGGGATTTTTTTTTTACGTTAAATGACAGTTCACATTCAAAATCTTCCAAAGATGGAAGCTCCAAGCATTCAATTAGAACAAAGAAATAATCATTTGAAAGGATTTAATGACTTATATTAAACATATTTTACCCTAAAGTACTTAGGTGATCTTTAAGGTCCTTTTCTGTTCAAATCTGGTTTTGGTAAATTTCCTAGACTCTTCTCAGAGCCTTTGTGATTACAAGCAGGACATGAAAGAGAAGATTCAGAATTAAAGTTGTCATCAGTTAAACCTGATTAAACAGGACAGACAGAAAGATGGCAGTAGAAATAAAGCATTCTGAATTAGGGACCAGGAGAAGACAATTAAGTAGCTTGCAGGCCCATGAATGAATCCCAACAGACACCCAAGTCAGGATGATGGTTGAAATAGTTAAGTGAACCAATGTCTGTCTTTTGGGTGACAAATGACCCACACAAACAGAAGACTATTTGGGTGGGTTATTTGTCATGGGTAGACTCTGGCTTCTATTAATAATGACAAACCATCTATCTACCTGAAGTAATCAAACCACCGCAGGAAAACCCATGTCAACTAGAGAATGGATTCTCTAATTTAAGAGTAAACCATCCCTTACTGGCAGTTTTCCTACGTTCTATCCCAAAATAGAATCCATCTATACTCATCGTCGCAAAATGGGTAGACATCTCACCCTTAAGAGTGGGACTCTGGCACTTCTGCTCCAAACAAAAACCATCCTTCTAATGGGGTGGGATTTATTCCCTCCGTTCAGGGGAGGGCTGTGGCAGCCTGCAGGGCATCCTGCAGGCTCCTACCCTGACTGTGACATCGCGCTGCTGGACTCTGGATACTAAGGACCCTGGATACTAAGGATCTGGATACTAAGGACCCTGGAGATTAGAGACCTGGATACTAAGGACAGCTGCCTCTGGGAGCCTGGGCACGGGAGCCCGGCCGCCCTGGCTCAGCCTCCGCAGCAGGCGGGAGGGTGGCCAGGCACCTCCGGGGCGCCGGGCAGATGCATTAGAAGCAAAAGCCGCCTCCAAGTTTCCCCTCCTTCCCCTCCATCCACCGGCCCGGCGCCCCGCCCCCACCCGCCCTGTCGGGAAAAGTCACGCCGGCCGCTCGCTGAAGGGCAGGACGCGGCTCCGGGGCGCACAGAAGTGGGGTTTCTTAGGGGCCGCGGCGGGCACCCCCTTCCACGGGGCAAACCCGCGACGCCAACTTTCCGCGGCCCCTTCTTCCCTCCCCGGCGAACAGCAGCCCAAACTTTGCCTCCCGCTCACCTGGCCGCCCCTCTCTCCCCCGAGCCCGGGGCCGGCGGCAGCGAGGACCTTCGCCCCAGCCCCCGGCGCCGGCCCGCCGCGGCCCGATCCCGCCCCCCCCCCCCGCCTCCGGCCGCCGCCCCCAGACCCATCTCCCCGCCCCAAACTCGCGGCCGGGCCACCGCACGCCGACCCTTGGGCTATACGACTGCCCTGGATCCTGCGGGTTCCCCGCCCTCCGCCCGCTCACTCACCGCCGGTCAAGGGCTCCATCTTCCCCCCCAGCCCGGCGCCGCGCCGCCCGAGCGCCCCAGCTTCCTACTCCAGGGCTGGGGCGGCCCCGCCGACTGAGCATGCCCAGCGCGGCCCGGCCGGTGCGGAGAGGCGGCGGGGCGGCGCCCGTCCGCCCGGGGCTCCGCCGCTCCGGGTTTTGGCGGCAGCTGCGGAGAAGGCGAGGGGCGGGGCGGGGGGCGGGGCTCCGGGCCGCCCTCTGCCCTAGGGGGTGGGGGGGTGCGGGGAGATTGGGGAGCGGAGGGCTGGGGCCCGGCGGGGCTGGGACCTGGGGGTGCGGGGCCGGGGTGCAGCCACGCCCGCCAGGAGGCAGGCCCGCCCACTCCCGGGGCTGGAGCCGCAGTGGATCTCTCCGCAAACTTGCCGTCCTAGGTGCCGGGATAACGGGCATCGCAAAGCCGGGCGGACATTCCCCCCGCAGCAGACTCCACACAAACGCAGGACACCCCGAGCCTGAAATAACTGCCCCGCTGAGCATCCGATGGGGCGGGGTGTGCGAGAGGGCGGGGTCGCTAGCTAACCTGATGGCTGCTGGAGAGGCCTCGCTCAGGGCGCCCCGCGGCCAGGTCTGACAGGCAGAGCGGGCTCCCTGGAGGGGAGAGGGCCCCGGGGAGCGCACGGCGCCCCGGCTCCGAGGAGGAGGCGCTCGGGCGGTCCCCATGGGGTGCCCGCCCCCAGCTGAGCAGCCCCCGGAGGCTGCACCCCGAGGCCGAGGGAGCGCGGGGATCCCGGGGACCCAGCCCCCCCCACCCCCGATTGAGGTTCTGGAGCGACCCCTCCCGGCGGGCGAACCACAAAACCCGGCGCTGGATGCTCCGGGCCTGCGGTCGCCGCAGGATGTGGGCAGAAGGCCTGTGGGAGCCGAGCCCCAAATCAACACCTGCGGCTCTGGGGGTGCCGCCGCCGGAGACCGCAGCCGGGCCGGGCGGAGCTAAGACCCGAGCAGCGGAAGCTCCCTTAGTCACCCCTGTCTCCCCCACCCCCCCACCCCCAGCATTTGCACCTTTGCCTCCAGCCCCTCGATACCATTGTTTCCGATGTCAGATCCGGGCAGACCTGGCAAACCTTGGGGATGGAGCCCCTGGGGGCCCCGTGAGCCCCGGCGAGGCTCGTCGGGGCGGCTCCCTCATCCCCGGTTCTGTGTGCGCATCGCGGCGGAGGCCTCGGCCTTTCCAGGTGCTGCCACCACCTCCTCTCCCGCCTCTTCCGCAGCCCCTGCAGCCCCTGCAGCAGCCTGGCTCCCGGAGCCTCCTGCGCCGCCAGCTGTCACCGCTGGCCGGGCTGTCAGCGGCGCGGCCCCGCAGGACGCGGGGGGCGAGCGCGCCCGCGGCGAGCAAACCGCCTGGGTAAACCAGTGTCCTTGGACCCAGCGGGGAATTAGAAATTAGATTGTAAAGAAGTAAAAAAAAAAAAAAAAAAAATCCAAGTGCAATATTGTCTATTAAATGTCAATTATATCTCCAATCGCGCACGTTCCACCCCACTTTAAAACCTCCAACGACTAACAATTGAGCTTAGAATAAAAAGTGAAACTCTTCAGCCCTGCGACCTCATCTCTCCTAGCATGTGCTCAAGGCTTTGGCCACAGAGGGTTTCTTGCAGTTCCTGGAAGTAGGCAAGTTCCACCCAACATGTTCCTCCTGCAGGAACTGTGCTTGCCCGGGTACTTTGCCTGCTGGTTCCTTCTTGTCATTTAGGTCTCACCTCAAATGTCACCTCTGCAGAGAGCCTTTCCCTAACCACACAATTGAAATTAAGCAGAAACATGGTCTACTGCTTAGTTTTCTTAGAGCACCCATTACTCAGTAAAACAATGGTTTTGTTCGCTGCTTTATTATTATCAACCTCCCTCTCAAGAACTAAAGCTGCATGAAACAGATAGGGTCTTTCTCTTTATAAGGAATGTATTCCCAAACGACTGCAGTAATTTTCCAATTGATACGGTAGTGATGCAATGGTATTTAGAGTTCTAGTTCACGTGCACTGTGGAACACCCGTCCAGACAACATCTCCATAGTGAGCGATGCTCTTGTGATCAGTACAGGGAAGGTGTCTTCATCAAATGACACCTCAAAGCTGCTCTCTCCCCACCCTTAAAGATAATCTCAGCTCTCCCTCGAGCTCTCCCTTACCCCCACTGAAAGGAATTGAACTGAAACTAGGAAGTGAACCGTAGGTGGAGCATCAGTGTTCAGATATTTTATAGTATATGCAAGGCTGGATTTTGTTAAGAGTACCCCACACATTGTGTTGCTTGGATAAGAGGCTTTCCCCCTATATTTTAGGTCATGTCATGTCCCTTTGGAGTTATTTTTGCAACCAAAGTACTTAGTATCAGAGATATTTAAACTCCCCAGCTCGTTAAATCCCCTCACCTCACCTGTAAGCGAGAGTCTATCAAGCTTTTAAGTGTGGAACACATTATCTTGTATTTTGTCTTAAATATTTCATTTCTGCAGAGACTTGTGATAAAAATGCTTCACCATGGCACTACTAAATATAGGTGGGTAATCATGTCTTTCAGTGATTTCTTTGACAAAGAGACAATAATTTTTTTATCCTCTCTTTGCCGAGAGAGAGAGAGAGAGAGAGAGAGAGAGAGAGAGAGAGAGAGAGAGAGAGAGAGAGAAAGAGAGAGAGAGAGAGAGAAAGAAGAAGAAGAAGAAGAAGAAGAAGAAGAAGAAGAAGAAGAAGAAGAAGAAGAAGAAGAAGAAGAAGAAGAAGAAGAAGAAAGAGGAGGAGGAGGGGGGAGGAGAAGGAAGAGGAGGGGGAGGAGAAGGGAGTGAGGGAGGAATATTAAGGAGCATTTAAAGATATGTGGATTGGGTTTGTGATTGGAGATGAAAGTATACAAACCTAAAACACTTCAGGATTCTATCTGCCCTCAAATAATGAATTTTGTTTTGTTTTATTGTGGGTTTGGTTTATTTTATTTGTTTGTTTGTTTTTTATAACATGTTGCATTTGATTTCATAAAGCCAGTTTCACTAGTGAAACCCATTATGGTTCAGTCTTTAATTGCCTCCAATCCTCCCACATAGAATTTCCTCTTTAAGGGCATAATACTTTAAATTGTTATGAAGTTACTATTGATAAACAGAGGCAATAGTGAGACATTGTTTACTATACCCATTTACTATTTCAGAATCCTTGCTTCTTTACCATTTAACATTTGAAAACAAACAAAAAAAAACTGCAAGGCTAAGTATAACATAATAAATAGCATAAGCAGAGAAATATGAGCTCCCTGAATAACAAACAGCATTTATTTATAAATAAGCAACAAACTTGCTAATCAATGAATATAGGAACTTCCCCCCTCCCCCTATCAAAATAAAGCAATTGGTATGCCATGAATGAGTTAATCCAAGCCTCAGTTTGTCTGGTGCAGGAACTGAAGTCTAGATGGGTGGGAGGATTTACTCACAGTCCAGTGGCAGCCACTGGCTGGAACTCAGGGGGCCTGTGTTCTAAACCAGAGCTCTGAAGTCTGGGGTTGCTTCCCTGTTTCCTCAGGGACAGTAGGATCGATGGCAATAGTCTGTGAAACGGATATGGAGTAAAGAGAAATACAACTAACTTCAGGCTAATTACTAGACAGCTATCCCACTAACTAATTGATACCCCAACTTAATTTCTCGATAGTCCCTGTCAACTTTAGGTTTAGCGTTATTAAATAATCTTTCTAATTATATTGAAATAAGCAATAAACAATACATGCATTCAGTGTGCACATTTGAAACTACTGGTTCAGGACTCTTAAAGAAATGGAGGACGCTGTTTGCTGCCAGGACACAAGGAGCCTTACGAGGTTTCCAGCTACGCCCGACTCTACTCAGCCACCCCAAGAACCAAACGAGTCAGCTTCTCACTACCCCTGTAACCCCGTTGCAGCACGCACGCTCAGCATCTATTAGTGATTTTTGAAGTTATACCAAATTAAGCAATGTTTAGAGCTCCAAAAACAAACAGAATAATTATCCAACAGAGTCCTCGTGTAGCTTAGACACTAGCAAAAAGATCCAGCCAAATAAAGTGAATGGAAAGAACAGTTCAGATGCTTTGGCAAACACACACAAGATGCTGATAACCTGGTTTACACATAAAGAAATGTATCATCTCACATGACAAGTCCAGAAGTAAGGCAGTCTCCAGTCACCGCTCCCCAACCTCATCAAGATCTCAGTTTCTCACTCAGTCTCTTCTGTGAGCGATTTTCTGAAAGACTGAGTATCCTTCGGCCAAAAAGGCTGCAGGGCAGGGGGAAGGAGGAGCCTTTTCTCTAGTGTCTCTTTCTTCAGAATGAGGAAACTTTTCTCGGAAATGCCCCATTAGAATTCTCTTTAGGTGTTATTTGCCAAAACAGTATTTTGTACATTTTTACGCAAATCACTGGACATGAAAACAGGGTTACTATGATCAGCTTCTTAGACAAAGCAGTTCAGGAGTGCTGAGTTTAGAATCAGTTTTCTTATATCATATGGGGTGCAGGGTGGGGGGACCTGGGGGCCTTGGACAAAATCATTTAGCTTATTCAGAATGGTAAAAGGGGGTTAAGCCAGCGGAATGTCAGGTAGGCAATCTAAATGTTCACCACAGGTTATCAATACTGACATATTTTAAGAATATTTTGATAATATTTTTAAACCCTAAGAACACTGTACAAAGAAATTAAAAATAGAGTCCAATTTGATGCACTTTTTATATAATTGATAAATAGGGCTAGGGTTACAAACGAAGAAATGATATATTATTAAACCTTGGGAACCTTGACCTGAAAGCAACTACTACCATGTTTCCCTGAAAATAAGGCCTAGCGCATGGAAAGATAAGACATCCCCTGAAAATAAGACCTAGGCAACTTTGGGAGAAAAAATTAATGTAAGACACTGTCTTATTTTCGGGGAAACAGGGTAACATGGAAAAATAAATCTCAGTCAGCTGCATTAGTTTGCTAGCACTGCTGTAAAACATTATCACAA